CTGCTTATGTGCCCCCCACACACGCCAAAAGGAAAGTAGAGGTGAATCATTTGATTGTGCAAAGGTTAAGTACCTACATTTTCCTGAATCTTCAGTTGGTCAACCTAACTTGGGGTTGATTATTCAGACATGATATGGCTGAGACCACTAGCAAATATCCCACCCCTCCTGGTGGAAGAGTCGGGGATGGTGTGTGCATGCTCATGGATGGGCGTGTGTGTGTGTGTGTGTGTGTGTGTGAGAGAGAGAGAGAGAGAGAGAGAGAGCAGTGGGGAAGGGGTTCAAGTCCATAACCAGTGATTACCTGTCCAGACTCAATGAACCAAAGAAAGAAAATGAGATCCCTACAAACCAAGAAATGAAGAGGTAATCTCAGACAACCAGGCTTTCAGATATACCAGAGCAGGACATCAACACTGAGGGCTGAACACAATGAGAAAAAGGGCTGGTGGAAAAAGATGGGAGGTCCAGCAGGAGGTATGCAGATGGCAGGAAGGCATTGACTGATGAACATAGAAGGAATTTTCCAGATGTTGGGTCTGGGCTCTGGAATCTCTTTTAAGAGCGGACTCCTGGCAGCCCCAGCTGGGAGCAGGACCTTGCAGAAGCAGGCCCAGGATGCTGACTCCTCCTGTATCTGGGCTCCTCTCCTTGTACAATGATTGCCGCTCCTTTGGGTTTCAGAGTCTGGAGCTGGGAATCAGCATACCTGGGTTCTAGACTAAGCCCCACTACTGACAATCTATGTGACTTCAGAAAGCTCATGCACTCCTAGTTTTTCCATAAAAATGAGAAGAATTATTCACCAACAGTACCCAACTCATGGAATGCCATTAGGGCAATATTAAATTGTGCAAGTCAAAGAAGCATTCTACACTCAGAAGTATATCTGTACTCTGGCCTTGGTTATAGTGTGACCCAAGTCAAACCAGATGAGTTTACACAATTCTCTAGGATAATAATAACAACAATAATAGTAACCCTTACATAGCACTTACTATGTTACTAGAATCTAATATGTCTGAGATACTTAGAATAATCTTCAAAACAACCTATGGGATGGGTACCAGCATTGTCTGCATTTTCAAAGGAAACCAAAACATAGAGATGTTAAATCAATTGCCCAAGGTCATGCAGAAAAGTGGCAGGTTTAGGGTAGAAGCTCAGGAAGTCTGCCTTCAGAGCCTGTTGTTCTTAACCACTGTGTGATATTCCCTCTTGCTAAAGGATCAAAGAAGCCAATGACCCAAGTGGCCAGGGTTTAGGAACCTACAGCATTATTATAGACACATTTAACTGTGAGTTAAACCAAAGTGGAAAAGTCTAGATTTTACGTGGTAGGTGGGGTGAATAACCATTTTACATATGCCAAAAAACAAACCAAAAAAATTAAAAATGAAGCAAATTTCACAAAAGGATTCAAGATAAAACCTCATTTGGCAGCAAGCTTCCTAACATGTTTAAAGATTCAATTTGCACAAAAGAGCTAATACTTTTTCAGGAGATCAATAGTTACTTGTTTCTAGGGCTCCCTTTATCACAAATAGGAAGTAAAATCTTTTTTTTTTTTTTTTTTTTTGAGACGGAGTCTCGCTGTGTCGCCCAGGCTGGAGTGCAGTGGCCGGATCTCAGCTCACTGCAAGCTCCGCCTCCTGGGTCCACGCCATTCTCCTGCCTCAGCCTCCCGAGTAGCTGGGACTACAGGTACCCGCCACCTCACCCAGCTAGTTTTTTTTGTATTTTTTAGTAGAGACGGGGTTTCACCGTGTTAGCCAGGATGGTCTCGATCTCCTGACCTCATGATCCACCCGTCTCAGCCTCCCAAAGTGAGCCACCGCGCCCGGCAGGAAGTAAAATCTTAAGGAGACAAGATGCCAATGCCAAGGTCTCCTGGGTAGATTGTTGCAGAAATGAGTTATGCCTCTTTATATGTACACTCTATGCAGTCCCCTCCCCAATTTGTTCTACAGTTGGTATGTGACTTGCTTTCATCATGGGACATTAACACATATGATATAAGTTGAACTTGAAGACTACTTGTACTATGGGGCTTGTGCTGTTAGAATACTCCTCCCATGTGAAGTGCCTTATGCTAGCCTGTTAGACACAGGTAGTTTAGCCAACACCCAGTACCAACCTCCAGACATATGAGTGAGGTCATCTTAGACCATCCAGCCCTAGTTGAGCCTCCAGGTAGATGTGGCTGCATGAGTGACCCAGGGTAAGACCCGCAGAAGAACCATCCTGCTGAGCCCTGGCCAAACATCTGATCCATAGAATTGTTCATATTTGCTGTTTTAAGCCACTAAATGTTGGGGTGGATTATTATGCAGCAAAAGCTAATGTATAGAGCCCATATCTAAAGCATTTCATGGGGTAGCAATAACAATATGGAACATAGAAATTGTTGGAAAGCCTGCAACATTCTCACAGTTAGGTAGGAGAGTCATTTAGCTGAAAAAGTGGCATCAGAAGTACTGAGTTGAGAAGAGAACATGTGCTGTTATTGCCTGATTTTTACCTACCTTTCTCTGTGACTTCTGAGTCAAGTAGATGGGGAAGTTGATCTTCACAATCACATTTGTAGAGCAGAGGAAAAAAAAGGAAAGAAGTCTGTTTAGAACATTCACTGATAAGAAATGTGCTACAACAGCACAGTGATATCACCAGTCAGGTTTATAGCCACACAGTGTCTTCTGCTTCAGTCCCTCCTAGGCTATTACCATTACTCCCTTAGCATTACTGCTACAGATTGGAGAAGCAGAGGCACAGAATAGGGAAAGGACTCAACCAAAGACAAAGAACACCTCTCAGCACTCTGAAGCCAAGAGGCCTGCTTATCTCTGGTGACAGCAATACAGAGAATAAAACCATCATCCAGTCCAATGTATTTCTTTAAAAATGAGAAACAGAAGCTCACAGAAGATAACTTGCTCAAGGCCACACCACTAAATATGATTAAGCTGAGACGTGAACCAAAGTTCATGGAATCTAAAATTCTACAGAGACCTGGGACCTAGGATATGTCTGAAAATCCTTCTGTCCTTGATTGATTTGAGAATATTGGCCAAGTGATCATCTAAGACAGCCTAGAAAGCCATAAGACTACAATATTTTTCAAACAGTCATTGGGAAACTTGGTTGACTAATGGATATAAGAGGGGAAAATCCACCAAAATTTCATTATGACAAAGACTGTGAATCTACTTGCAGGCCCTCCCCTTCTACTTCTATCAAAGTGACAATTAATAGTGACCACAAGGAGCATATTTATAATACTATGGTCTGAATATTTGTTCTCCCCTCAAATTCATATGTTGAAATTCTAATCCCCAAAGTGATGGTATGTGGAGATGAGGCCTTTGGGAGGTGATTAGGTCATAAGGGTAGATCCCTCTGATGGGATCAGTGCCCCTATAAGAAGCAACTTGAAAAAGCTTGCTTTCTCTCTCTCTGCTATGTGATGATACAGCAAGAAAGTATCTTCACCAAGAAACCAACCATGCTGGCATCCTGATCACAAACCTCCAGCCTTCAGACTGTGAGAAATAAATGTTTGTTGTTTAAGCCACCTCATGTATGGTATTGTGCTATAGCAGCAAGAGCTGACTGAGACAATATCTTAGAGAACAAAGAAAACATTAACTTATGGCTTGAAGTATAAACACTAGCTAACAAATACTTCTGCAAATCACTCTTAAATGCTGGCATATGCGTATGTGCTAAACCTTACATGTATATCTGATTTTATTTTATACTCTACAGGAAAATGCCCTGGTTCCTTTTCTATTTCTAATTTATTTTATGAATGTGAACAAGTGATTTAACTACTCCAGGTCTCAAATGTTCCATCCAATAAAACAAAGCCATTGGACCACCGAGTCTGAAGCAACACAGTAGAATGCAGACATTGGACTTTGGACACAACACAGTTGACACTGAATCATCCGGGACATAGCATCTTGTTAATGTCTGGCTGTGTGCCTAGCCTCACCTCTTTCCATGTCTAGATAAACGCAAAAGACACACCCTTCTCACAGGGCTTGGTAAAGATGAATAACAACACACATAAGGAACCCAGCACCATGCCTCATTCCTAGGAGTGCTCAATAAGGAACAGCTAATGATAATCATGCATTCATCCCACAAATATTTATTGAGCTTGTACTTGGTGCCAGGCACTATTTTTTGTGTGAAGAACAGAGGAGTTAACAAAACCAAGGAAACTCCCTGTCCTATTGAGCTGGCATTCTAGTGCCGAGTAATCCACTACACTAACATTGCAGGAGCTAGGGGTCTTAGGTCACAGCAAGGGTTCCCTGATTCCATCCCCACTACAGAAACCAGAGCAACTAGTGCCTGGAAGTCTCACCCTAGGCTGGCTAGGTCCTTGCCTCCGTAGGGAAGGCCACATACTATCATGGGTCCCCTAGGCCTCCCATCAACAGCCCAGCATGGTATCCACCAGTGAGGGCATAGCCAGGCCTGGGCTTCACATGTCCCTGCCACCTTAGCTCCTTTCCCTCACCAAAACCGTTCCCTGAGCCTGCCCCAGAGCCTTCCAGAAATCTCCGAGGAGACGAAGTTTGCTTAGTGGCATTACCCAGGACTTCCCACCAGAGGTCGCCCTCCCACACAAGCCCAAGCAAACAGACAGGGCTTCGCCGCCTCTGCGGCGGTGACATTATTTTCTTTCTCTATTTTTATCTATTAAAAAGATTTCTTCACAGCCATAACTTAGATCCCTACACTAAAATGGAGCAACAGGAAGATATAATGGTGCGTTTCATTTATGAATGACCTATAATAAATTACTCTGAAGTGTCCCGAGTGCCAGAAGACAGAACGCTTTGTCTGCCCACGAACTGTATTTCACATACTTTAATTTAGCCGACACATAAAACTCATTTGACATTTTGCAGGTATTTGTGCAGGGTGGGGTGGGGGGACGACTGTGGGGCTGGGTGGGGAGTGGGGGCAGCGGGCAGAGGAAAGGATATTCGGTTCTTGTTGAGGGTTAAGGTATGCAGTCTGGGTAACCCTGGCAACACGAGGTCGTCCCCCAGCTGATTGTTGTCCAAGATGAGTTCCTCCAGGCTCCTGAATGCGCTCAGTCCTTCCAGTGACCTGCAATGACAAAGGCAACAGGAAAAATGATCCTGCACTAAATCAGGGAGGCCATTATGAGCCGAAATAAATATTTTAACCTTCCCTTTCAGGACTGGGAATAGTTTGGGCTTGGTGCCTGTCAGCAAAGTGAATGACAAGAATTAGTAGCAGGAGTCGAGGCGGGGGCGGCGGGGGAGAAGGGGCCGCTGGCACCCACCGCATCCTTCACGTATTGCCAACATGAAGGATGAGGGTCACTTAGTGAGTAGCCAGGATCCAAAACAAAGGGCTTCAGATACGGCCTGCAGGATAAATTTGTCAATGTCTTGTGCCTTCAGGCACCCAGCCTCGGCTGACCCTAACCTCCATTCCCAAGATAAATAACTCTGTCACAGTTCACCTTCATTCCCTGGACACAAATTCAAGTTGTCATCCATCATTCCTGCCCAGAAATATCATACCCTCTTACAATAATAAATATAACTTCAAGTATCATTTCTTAGCGGTTCTCCTCTGTACAGTCGTGGGGGAAACGGCAGGGAAGGCTTCCTTTCTCTGCGTTCACATCCTTTGACTTTTTTTTCCCCTCTGCCTTTTTTCTTTACTAATCACTTAATTTGCTTCTGCCCAGCGTCCCAGTGGCTGCCCCAAAGGCAAGGCATCTGCGGAATTACATAATCACTCCGGTCTGAGAGGCCTTTTTCTTTTATTATTTCTTTTTATTTGTTTTTGCTGCGGGTGGGGAGACGGGGGTTGGCGGAATTGCTGCTTCAAAGCTCCTGGCCTGAAGTTACTGTTTTAATTTATGGAAAGTGGATTTCTCACTTAATTTTTGAAAGAAGTGTAGAGTGCAACCCTGTAGATGTTGAGGCAGTAAATAAAAAGGCAACTGAGAGAATTAAGTACCCGACTCCAGAAAAAAAAAAAAAAAAAAAACCAGAAAGGGAAAAATAGCCTTGCTTATACACGTCGCTGAAAGTTAACTCTTAATTTTATGGGCTCTCATGAGTGTTGGGGGTGGAGGTGACACGGGGTAGTTGTGCACAAGTGCTTGCCTGGGCGCACACAGACATTAATTAAAGCAAGCCGGCCGGCGGAGGGGCTTACACAGAGACACAGACTCCCAGCTCGTTCACCTGCCAGACCCGGGAGATGTGCTGAGCCTGCACAGGCTGACAGCTGAGCTACGATGTGGACCGGAGGGAGACTCCTATGGGATGCCTGGCTATTCTATAAAATGACGAATCAGGGAGATGAATCGTCCACACTATTCATTTACTGATAGCGCTTCCATTAGAGCCCCGTGTGCTTGTGTGTGCAATGTCTGCACATCTGCTGTGAGTGTGAACTTCAGCACCAGAGCTTTCCCAAGGCATCCATAGCTCCCTTGTGGGATCTCTGCCAAGAGGACTCCAAAATAGGGAGTCAATACTTGCGAGGTGTAAAATGTGTTGTAATTAAATCTGTAGATTCCACTGGGCCCAGAGCTCTGCCTGCATATTCCATTCCTGCCAGACCTCGGGATGGTCCCACCCAGGACTTGACTCCCAGAGCATGCCTGCTCCTCCAACCAACACTGCCAGTCCCACCGAGGGAGGACACATTTTGGAGTAGGGGTCCAGAGGTCATCACGTTTCATTTCCTCCTCCTTTCTCTTTTGCCTCTTGGTTCCTAGAGGCAAAACACAACTTATGAGGATAAATGCTTGAAGGGCTGGATATCCCATTTATCCTGATGTGATGATTACACATTGCATGCCTGTATCAAAATATCTCATGTGACCCATAAACATCTCTACCTGCTATGTACCCACAAAAAATACAAACAAAAAAAAATTGTAAAAACCCACAACGTACGCACATCTAGGCAGGAAGGTTTGGGACTTTGCCTCCGCTCCTCCATTTCCTGTTGTGTGAATTCGGGCCTGTCAATAGCCCATCTGAACTCTACTGTTCTGTGCTCCTTCCAGCTCATAGGATCTTGTAGAGAATAAGTGAAGGATGGCTAACTGGTTAGTAGCATACGCTGTTTTGTTTTGTTTTGTTTTTCTTTTCCTTCCTCCTTTTATTCACTGTTTTGTTTCCTGACGCCCTGATCCTGGGGGTGTGTTTGGAATGCAGTGGACAGGCCCATGAACAAACCCACAGAGGAGGCGTGCAGGAAGTCAGGCTTGTGCAGGGGACTTTCGGGCTCTTCTGAAGTCCCTCCACTAGGGATTAGGGAGTGATGTGCCAAAAGGCTTCTCAGGACTGGGCCTGTTTGCCACTAGGAGAGGTGAGGCCACTTCCCCTTAGGGAGCCTTACGGGTGGCTAATAAGACCTTCGTGCACAAACATCAGTTGGGCTCTGCTCAAAGGCAGCATCCAAATACGTTGCTCCTACGTTATGTTATGCAAATATTAGACTCTTCTGATGAGAATCAGCAAATGGTTGGCAACTGGCAAGCAGAAGAAAGTTCCTTTCCAAAAGTGCTCCAGGGAGGCATAAAGCAAAACGACACAGCATGAAGATGGGGAGAGCCCAGGAGCACCAAGGAAGCGCCCACCTCCATCCAGACAGCCTTTCTTCCCTTGCAGGGTGGGCTATGGGGCAGAACCCCACACCAGAGTGAAACCTCCCAGAAGAGCTGGGAAGATCAGTCTCAAATCCCCTGTCACCTGCCTGGTTTTGAGACTCTTTTTGCCATGTGACGTTATTAGCTGCTCAGTAAAAAGAGAACCATATTACATGGGTGACTGCTAATGAATAAATCCCTGTTTTCATGTTATCAGTGTGGTGTGCTCCTGGGGATTTAATCAGCTAGATCCAGAGCTGAGGGCCGGGGCACCGAAGTCAGGGGGCAGAGAACATAGTGAATGGAGGTACTGGGGAGGACAGGTTTTGGGAGGTCCCAGCTGGCACATGGATGACAATACACATACACCTGGGAGGAGGTGGCTTTAACCTTTACGTTGATTTTTTTTGTTTGTTTTTCCTGTTGTTTTCTAGGGAGAAATAGGAGAAACAATATGTGTGTAGATCTTTGAGTTCATTCCCCTATATGCCAGATGCCTGCAAATATGTGCTGTTAAATAAAATGACAATTTGTCTGCTATCATCTTGTGTATGAACAGCAAAATGCACCCCAAAACCAGATCCCCCGTGGAGACGCCGACTGTCAGTCCAGCATCACTCGCCAGCTTCCTGGAGCAGTGCGATGTCTGAGGCATGGACTGGGGGCTGGTAGGAGAGAGCAAGGTTTCACCCAGGACCTAGGCACAGCCAGCTGGAGGGAGATCATCCAGGCCTGGATTGTCCTGGAAACCGAATCAGCACCCCTGGAACTCCCTGCAGGCTGCCTGCCTCCCCCTCCACCAGCAGCAACGCAGCCAGGATCTCACACACAGGTACCATCCTCTTACCTCCTTCCCTCATTCCCAGGGCTCTGCCTGGGCTCCCCCAGGAGCTGCAGCGGCTGCTGGGAGCATCCCAGTGCCTTTTCCAAAGTCACATCAAAATGACAAAACATCACAACGCATTGGGCTCCAGTGGATTCAAACAGAGAGAACTTTTAAGTTTCCACTGTAATTAACCCTATCCTCGTTAAGATAATTATGATCAAGCTTCCTGTCAGAGTTAATATCCCAACATCATCGCCTGTGGCTCACACTCTGCCCTCATTAGCTTATGAAAACAGCAGCGCTGAACGGGCGTGCAGCCCTGCCCAGGCCAGGCCAGTGGCTGGCATGGGGGGACCTCGGGTTGGGGACCAGGGGCCCCACAGAAGGGCCACCCCTTGAGCCCCAGTCCCTTCTGCTCCTGGGTGGGCACAAATCAGTGACCTTCATCCTTTCCCTGCAAATGAGCCACTCACCATAATGGAGGGGAAGAGCCAGGACCCGGGCCCAGGTAGGGCTGGCAGGCTTGGGCAGGAGCCTCTAATTTGTAGCCATTCCTCCCTGCCCCTTGCCCAGCCAAACACCAGCCAGGACATTGTACCATTAAAACCACCAGAGGATGCTTCCAGAACCCCTGGATCAATCCTTGGATCTAGGCTATGCTAAGAATTCAATCTCTCCTCCCTCAGTTCCAGCCTATACCAGGGGTGACAGGGTTGCGCCAACATGAGATGGGCAGTGAACAGGCGGAACAGCTGACCACAGACTCTAAAACAAAAGTGTCAGTCTCTTTGGGACTATATTTGGCCCCAAATCCAGGAGCAAAGGCTAGGATGTTCTCAAGCCAATCAAGAAAGCAAGATCTCCACAGAGAAAGTCTTTACCCTCTTCCTCAACTCTAAATATCCCTGCCCATATTTTTTTTTTTTTTTTTTTTTTTTTTTTCGGAGTCTTCGCTCTGTCACCAGGTTGGAGTGCAGTGGTACAATCTCGCTCACTGCAACCTCCGCCTTCCGGGTTCAAGTGATTCTCCTGCCTCAGCCTCCTGAGTAGCCGGCATTACAGGCATGCGTCACCAAGCCCGGCTAATTTTTGTAATTTTAGTAGAGACAGGGTTTCACCATGTTGGCCAGACTGGTCTCAAACTCCTGGCCTCATAATCTGCCCGCCTCGGCCTCCCAAAGTGCTGGGATTACAGGCGTGAGCCACCGCACCCGGCCAGCACAGACGTTTTCATACCTATACATTTTTATAATTTGTTTACCTAGTCCTGGAAGGGACATTCTTTTTTCCATAAAACTCTTTGTATATGCTTAAATGTATGGATAAAGACATAGATATGTAACTCTATATATTACTATATATATTATACATGTTATATATTAGTATATATAGTATGCATAGTTGGCTGTGTACATTTTTCGGCCATTCAAGTCACATAGCCATATATGTACACACACACACACACACACACACACAAATAATTATATAAATCAACTAATCCACACCATAAGTGTATCAAGATGAATAGAAATGTCTTTAAGAAATAGAAGAACATGAAAAAGGTTCGGGCTATGTGAAACAGAACGTACACTGACATCACAAGGGATTGCATCCAGCCTGGGCAACATAGTAAGACAT